TATTAAAGTTTATTTCATATTTGTAGGTCTGGGTCAGCTCATTTTCTGACTAGTAGATGAACTATGGCGCGGTATGAGGGCCAAAATTAAGACTATTGCGCAACCAGCGGTAGCTACATCCTTGTAGCAGGAGGCTATTGATCTGATTAATGATAGGCCGGCACCGCAAACTGAGAGGCTGGCGCTGGCAAATGAGAAGGAGACTATTCATTTGTGTTAGCATTGGAGAGGCTAACGACTAGCATGCCTAGGCTAGTAACCCACTGGATTGACTACTCCCTCCGCTGTCCAGTGACATGGATAGGCTGGCGTTGGCATTGGAGAGGCTAGCGACTAGCATGCCTAGGCTAGTAACCCACTGGATTGACTACTCCCTCCGCTGTCCAGTGACATGGATAGGCTGGCGTTAGCATTGGAGAGGCTAGCAACTAGCATGGCTAAGCTAGTAACCCACTGGATTGACTACTCCCTCCGCTGTCCAGTGACATGGATAGGCTGGCGTTAGCATTGGAGAGGCTAGCGACTAGCATGGCTAAGCAGCTCACCTACTTTATTATACACGAACTTTTTTGAATAGTCAATCTAGTGGGTTACTAGCCTAGGCATGCTAGTCGCTAGCTTCTCCAATGCTAACACAAATGAAAAGTCTCCTTCCCATTTGCCAGCGCCGGCCTCTCATTTACCGGAGCCAGCCTCTCAGTTAGCGGTGCCGGCCTGTCATTAATCAGATCATTAGCCTCCTGCTACAAGGATGTAGCTACCACTGGTTGCGCAATAGTCTTAATTTTGGCCCTCATACCGCGCCATAGATGAACATGATGCTGCAAAAAACAAGGATTCCAGGTTTTATCAGGAGTTCTGTCTGTTCAACACAACGTGCAACACTTTATTTTAAAGTCTGGAATGAATTAATGCAAAGTTATCAACAGTTTATTAATGAGAATACACTCAACGTCAGTCCTCCACTTCACAGAGACATTTACACACAAACCAGGTTTACACAGATTTACACYTCACTTATAATTTACACAGGAGAAATGCTGTTTGAACATCAGTGAAATGAGAAAACAAGACCATTAAGAGCAGGGATTTGTTCAAATTTATACAATAAGTCCCAACAAACAAATGTTTCTTTGGGTAACGGCCACCAATCAGGTGTCAAGACGACAAATAAATGTAAAGATTGTAAAAACAAAATGAAGAAAAAAGGCAAATGGTTGAATAAAAACACTTCATATTTGGACAAGCATGTTTTATCAGAACATTATTTCATCAAAGGGAAATGAAACCATCAAACTGGTTCCGTTAAAATGCCAGAAATAAATACGATGATGTTTATTTGTTCGGCTGCGAGTCGCCTGGGGGTCGTTTCTACTTGTGAGGGGGTTCACAGAGCGCACAGCCAGGCCTCAGGTCGGCCTGCCGCTCCATCTGAATGGTCACAGAGTGGAAGTTGTAGGAGGAGAAACAAGCCTGGGTCATTTCTCTCAGGACGGTCTGAGCGTCCACTGAGTCATCTGGAGACAGGAAGAAAACAAAGACTTCAGCTCCTTCATCATGTGACTCGGCTGAGGTTCAAGTTTATCTTGTGATTTTAGCAGAACTTATGACCAGGTTTATTAAACATGACGTGAATTCAAATCAACTCTGTTCTTTTATTTGTATAACTTCAAACTAAACAAAAACTTTAGGCCATTTTTAGCTTGACCTCTGCTCTGATGGAGTTCATCACTGCTACGTTTAGCTACTATTCAGCTACTTTAGGCTTTTTAGTTAGGCTTTGGTTACTTTTAAGTAAATTTGTAGATTTCGGGTTTTAACTAGCTTTTAGTTACATCTAACATTTGCTACATTTAGCAATTAGCTAAGACTTTTAAATTTAGCTTTTCTTTTTATAACACTTTGCTACTTTTAGCTACAGTTCTGCAACATTTAGTTTTTAGCTTGCATTTTGACATGTTTTGCTAGCTATTTCCAATATTTACCTTTTAGCTAGTGCTTTGCTACGTCTAACATTCATCTTGATAGCATTTTGCTACTTTTAGCCAAATTTCTGCCACGTTTAGCTAGGCTTTTGAATTCATTTGATTTTAGTGTTTAATATTACTTTTGCTAATTCTAGCTACTGTTTTGCAGTTATTTGCTAGTTTGGCTATGTTTAGCTAAATATTGCTATATTTAGTTATTACCTAACTTTTTTGCTACTTTTAATTACAGTTATGCTACTTTTAGTTCTTAGCTTACATTTTGACACAGTTATGCCTTTGATAATTCTAGCTACTGTTTTGCAGCAATTTGCAACATTTACCTTTTAGCTCGTGCTTTGCTACTTTTAGTTTTCACAGTGATAAAATATCGCTACTTTTAGCTAACCTTTTGAATGTTTTTGCTTTTAGCATTTAGCTAGCCTATTGCTAATTCTAGCTACTGTTTTGCAGCTATAAGCTAGTTTAGCTACATTTTTGTTTATTCAGTTTATTTCCTTCATAAAAATTAAATATTTATACAGTAAAATAAAAAAATCAAGCCATGAATAAAACATTAAGTTAACCATTGCTATTTAGCTATCATCTAGCTTTTGGCTACTTTTAGGTACAGCTCTCCTAATTTTAGCTAGGCTTTTGAATTTTTTTCCTTTTACCATTTAACTATAGTTTTGCTAATTCTAGCTACTGTTTTGAAGCTATTAGCTAGTTTGGCTATGTTTAGCTAACTCTTGCTATATTTAGCTGTTAGCTAGTTTTTTGCTGCTTTTAAATTTAGCTTTTCTTTTTATAATGTTTTGTTACA